AAAAATGCAGAAAGTTTCCTGTGAGGGGTAGGTTTAGGGGTAGGGTTGGTGTAGGGCAATAGAATATACGTTCTGTACAGTAGAAAAACCATTACGCCTATGGGATGTCCCCACAAGGATAGCTGACCAGACATGAGTGTGTGTGTGTGTGTGTGTACTGGTTTATATATCCTGGTGGGGACTTAAACCTGACTACACACAGACTCATGGGGACTCGTGTCACGGTGGGGACCTAAATTGTGGTCCCCACGGGTACAAAAGCTTATAAATCATACAGAATTAGGTTTTTTGAAAATCTAAAAATGCAAAAAGTTTCCTGTGAGGGGTAGGTTTAGGTGTAGGGTTGGTGTAGGGCAATAGAATATACGGTCTGTAGAGTATAAAAACCATTACGCCTATGGGATGTCCCCACAAGGATAGCTGACCAGACGTGTGTGTGTGTGTGTGTGTGTGTGTGTGTGTGTTAAGAGTGTGATCTGTCTGCTCTGTTGTCTGCAGTATGCATGCATGCATCAGTGAGTTTCAGGCTCTTTGTTGGCTGGATGGAGGCGGGGCGCTGCGCGGCCGCAGGTCCTTTTGTGCCCCTCACATTTTGGCCAAAATCAGAGCTTGCAGACGCGCCAGAAGCACGAAACCGGACTATACAAAAAGAAAATCTTAACAAACAGCGATGTTATTCTAACACAGCGTTTTGTTTAAGGAGCTTTGTGAAATTGTAGGTGAGTCATGAACTCCTGGTTGGGCCAGGAGAAAAACTTTCTATTTTATGATTATTATTATTATCATTATTTGTTGAGGATATTTAGTTAAGTGACTCGTTATCTTAAACAACTTTATTTTCTTTATAGACGTTATCTTTTATGTTGTGCATTTTTGTCTGCTGGACTATTGGCTGGTCAACAGATTACCCCGTTACTAAGCAACCGGTTGTCTAGATTCTCAACTAGCAGCAGACGTTCGTCAGGAATACTTGGAACGAGCCTACGATTTCGCGTTTTTAAACTTAATAAACAAAAGAAAACATAAGTTAAACGTGAAATATTTGTCTGTCAATATTATATTAAAACAAATAATCGTAATGCCACTGATGCCCGAATTGCATCATAACTTGCGCAAACTGAACATTAAACTCACTTAAATAAATGTAATATAACTTTTCCCACACACTATAGACTTAGTCATATTTACACAAGATGTACTGTGATAATTTTGTTGTAATAAAGGTTTTAACATGCTGATATGAGATAATAAGAACATTATTGACTGATTGTCTTTTTAAGCCAAAAAAGGTGGTAAAACTTTGGTGGGAAAGTACTTCATATTCATAATGTTTTACAAGATGCAAACAGTGTTTGGCTTTAGTGGCCTCATGGGCTCCAAAACCGAACGGCCTCATTGGCCCTCATTACTAAATTAAAAACATTTACCTTTTTTTCTTTTAAACAAGCTAAACTTTGAAGTTAAATATAACTTTTTTTAGTGTTTCAAATTCAATACATTACAACTTATTATAGAAAAAAAAAGTGTATTTGTGTTGTAGCTCTTTGAAGAAGTCTGAAGTCTTTAGGAGAGTGTGTTTGTAGTCCTGCGGTCTGGCAGGTGTGGGATGTTGTGCACTGTTGTTCAATCTCCCGCCAATATTGCACTCGTCCCGGCCTCCCTGACCACGAGGAACACGCGACTCCTCGCTGCAATCTCCCGCCACTACAGCGGATTATGAAGAGCTCGACCACTAGGGCGGCGCCAGACTGCAGGTGTATATTCAACACCAGTGTGAGTATATGACCCTTACTAGCTTACTACTTACTGAATATTGTGCAGTATGCATCGTATACTGTGTACTTTTTTGCATTGCATACAGTATTCCATACAGTGTGAACTGATGTATACTGCACAATTAGGAAAATTTAATATATAATTCAGGTGTTCATTAAATTTATGCATACAGAAAATTCACAAACTGTGTTTGAGAGTATACAAGCATGCTATTCCAAACATAGCATACAGTAGATTGTATTTGAATATTAATATATTAAAATATAATGTTTAATATAACTTT